ATGGAGGTCAAAGACACAAGCTCCTTCCCAGGGTTCTGTCGGAACCAGTGGAAATTGAGGTGGGTTCTCCCCTCAGTAGTGCAGTTCAGAATGGTGATTGTCCTCTCCTAGACACTCAGCAAGGAAGGACTCTGCTCCAGCACATGCAGGCTGCTCACCACTGTGGAATAGGGAGAGGCACAGACGTAGTCATTCAGTGATATTGACTACTTTTTTAAAGAAATACAATCTTTTCACTGTCCCTACCAATGATCACAGATGCTCAAATAGCCCTTACAAATTTCAGGCTTATAGAAAGAATTTGTTGACTATGTTATTATTATTGACATTTCCCAAGTGCACCAAACTCACAGCCATAGGATCCAAGACAAAATTATGAATGAAACTCTCAAGAGTTTCTCCATTTTTGTGTTCATCACACTCACTGAGAACATAGATCACTGTCTGAGTGTCCACAAACACAAGCAAGCCTAATAGCTTATATTCCTGAGTGTCACTGCAGAGAGCTGAGAATCTCCCCAGCCAACCAGCCACTAGATCCGCCCTCTGGGCCAGATTACACTGCTGATTTCCTCTCCACAGAGGTAACAAAGGAAAGACCAGGTCAGGACCAGAAGCAAGTGTACTGAAGGACAAAGCTGGCATAAATACACACACACACACACACACACACACACACACACACACACACACACACGAACACCCAGGCACACCACTGGAACAGAGAGGTAGGAACAAACCCATGCAATTGCAGCCATTCTAATTGTTAAAGAAACCAAAAGTGTATGTTAGAGGAAAGGCAGCCTCTTCAACAAATGGTGCTGGGAAAAATGTCTATGCACAAATAAGAGGACTGCAGCCAGATCCATCTGTCACACTTAGTATAGCAACAACAAAAAAATCATTCAAAATAGATTTAAAACATCAATATAAGCCCTCGAACTGTGACACCATTACATGAAAACAGGTGATATACTTTAAAATTTTGGCATAGCCAAAAATCTTCTGTGCAGGACTCCCAAAGATTCACAAATGTCACTAGGAATTGAAAAGCAAGGTTACTTCAAATTGAAAAGTTTCTGCACAGAAAGTAAACAGTGAAGGAAAGAGAATAAGAGAAAGTCTTTGCCAGTAACTTCTTTTAGAGGGGATTAATATCCAGTGCATTTAAGGAACTAAAAGCAAAACACCAATAGAACAAGTACATCAATCAAAATAGACAAGTGAGCTGAACCAACAATTCTCAAACTAAAAGATATAAGTGGTTTGACAAATATGACAAAAATGTTTAACATTTTTAGTCATTATGGAAACACATGTCAAATCAAACCCACAAGCTTACATGTGTCATCTCTCACTGAGTTAGGCAAGGGAAAAATAAAGGGCAGGTCAGGATGGATGAAAGGAACCAGGACAGATCTCTTCCAATGGAAAGGGGTCAAGGGGGTGGAACGGAGGAGAGAGGGGACGGGAAGGGGAGGTAAGAAAGATTAAACTGTGCCAGGTATAGGAGCCTAACATCCTCAATAAGTGTAAAACACTGACTGTCATAAATATGAGTTAGAAATAACTACAAATGGAATGAAATGGGAGAGGACGGGAATTGAAAAGAAGAAACTGTGTGTTATGTACAGGTAGCTACACTCCAAGATGAATGGAATACTGCAAACATACACCTATAAAATAAAAAGAAATTTTAAAGTGCACAGATATTTGGCACCACCCCAATGCCCATTATCAAAAAACAAAACTTAACTTGCTGGCAAGGATCAGGCGGAAAGGAATCCTTATTCATGGAAATGTAAATTAGCACAGCATTACATAAATCAGCATGAAGGTGTGTTAAAAAATCAAAATGGACCTGACATATTATCCAGGAACATGCTTCTTAATATATACACTTTGTGCATACGCAAAGGAATCAGTGTCATCTTATTATAAAGACACCTTCATATCAGTGTTTACCTCGGCACAGTTCACAATGGCCATGATAAAGAATGAGTCTAGACTCCTGCCAATGAGTAAACAGAGAGAGAGAGAGAGAGAGAGAGAGAGAGAGAGAGAGAGAGAGAGGAGATAGAGGAGAGAGAGAGAGAGGAGAGAGAGAGAGAGAGAGAGAGAGAGAGAGAGAGAGAGAGAGAGAGGGAGAGAGAGAGAGAATGTGTGTGTATATATAAATGGCTGCATAATGGAATTTTATTCAAATATAAAGAAAAACAAAATCATCCTTTTCAGGAAAATGGATGAAATTCATGCTCAGGCAAAATATGTCAGATTCATAAAAGTAAAAGATGGAATCTAATTTTTGAATACCATAAGAGTGGAAAGTGCACTATCAGGAAAGCAGAAGAGCAGTAGGGATCGGGGAATGAAAGAGACTGATTGGCAAGAAGACAGTCAAAGCACATTTTTTGTGTGTAAGAAAATTTACAATAAGCCCATCACTGTGCACAACAAATGAGTTAACAATAATGAAATCTATTTGTTCTATGCTTTTTGAATTGTAGCTATTGATTAAATTCATAGTATTTTGTCTTGCTTTTCAAATTTCAAGCATCTCAAGATAGTATGACCTGTGCAAAACCAATATTTTACATTAGTTGAACCAGAGCTCCTGATGTAAGACATTTTACATATGATCATAATCATGCTGAATATATATCTGTTGTCTTTCTTTACTTACTAAACAGATAACCAATTTAAGGATACATCTTTGCTTCCTGAACAAAAGTGATTTCTCAGTTTTTTACTATTTTACAAACTTTTATACAATTTGTTCTTGCCAGCTAAAACATATTGGCTACTACAAGGGGGCACAATTTCATATGCATTAATTAATTTAATCCCCACTACAACTGGAATCAGAGAAGTTGGTGAACACAGAGACATTCAAGATCAGATTCCAATGCTGGCCATCTGGCCCCCAAGTCCTCGCTCCCAGTTACTTCTTTAAACTTCTCATTTTTGTTGCATGAACACACGATAGAAGGGCACATTTGCCATAGGTGAGAGGTTGATGGGTTTGGGTAAAGAAGACCTATTTGTCATGGAGTCACAGAGTGAGCTCAGCAGCCCTGTACTATTTGGTCTCACGGACACCAGGGGAATGAGTTCACTGAGAGAAGCCGAAGCCCAGACACTTTGACTTTGTCACCCTCCAAGAAGGAGGAGAGGGGAGGGGGTTTATTCTGAAGTCAAAGTGTAACACACAGGGATAAAGTCAGAATCATGAAATGTTTAAGTTTAAAACACAACTCTTAAAATATTGATAAAATTCATAAAAGAAATAAAGTGCAAAGGCTTTACTTTCATCAGAATAATTTCTTGTGTTTGCCACTGTGTTTTTTAGACTTTGATTGTTCACAAAAACTAAATCTAAGAGAGATGTGTTTATTAAGCACCCACTTAAAGTCTGTTTATAAAGTTTGGCCTACAATGCTAGCTAAATAAACTGCTATTATATTTACAGAGCTGTAATATGCCTTATTTACACAAATACTCTAACCTTTTACAAAATTTTTAAAGAAGTCTAACTCTCCTGAGGTAATACAATCATGATTGTTGTCTTAACATTCTATAAAAGTAGCTAAATTATTTAACCAAATTACTAAAACCCTGAATTACTAATTCAGGGTACAAATGATGCCTTGTGTAAGGTTTATAGTTACTTAATCAGCAAGAGCTGTGTCCTTTTCAGTTGGAATTGGGCAATCTTCCTTTGCCCATCTTCACCTCAAAAGATATTGAGAACCAAGATTTCAATGTGAGACAGTCAAACACCTGCTATTTAAAAATGTTGCAGAAAGCAGGTCAAACCGGAAAACAGCACCAGAAGTTGTGGGAGACAGTTTACTACACCCGAGGGCTCCTGACCAGGATTTGTCCATGATGGTCAGAGCCCTGCCTGGCAAGGCTTAGGGCTTTTAACCAGCAAGTAAGCACGGAGGTTTACAGACAAATTTGGCTCCTATGATTGGTGGGATGGGTGACAGCATCGGTTGCTAAGGGAGATTAAACATTTTGGGTTACACCATAAGGCTAGCAGTTATACAAACTATGGATTATACAGAGGAGAACTGTTCTGTTACATTTTGTTACATTACAAGGCCATTAGCACCAGTTAAACAGGCAGTGAAGGTGGAGGTTAAGCAAAAGACACTTTGGGGTTGCACTGTAAGACAAGCTTGCCTGCCAGACAGGCTCACACAGAGAGGGCAAGGTTCTCTTTCCAGGTGTGTCCCTATGCCTCTTGGCGGGCATTCCGGCAGTCCTCTATTTAAAATTTTAATTTTTATCTTTCATCGTCATATATAGAAACCTAAAATCTATGTCACAGTGTAAAGGACATGTAGATAGATGGATAGGCAGGTACTTCCTTGAAATTGTAAAAATTCTAAACCTCTTGGGAGCTCTCCCCTACCAAATAAATGATATCAAATTTAATAAAAGGTAAACACAGCCTGAGGGCCACTCTGTCTCAACCTCTACTGTTTCTCAAATTTGTCTAAAAAGGATGACGCCAATCATCAATCGCTTCTCCCGCAAGGAGTCTGACCAGAAAAGTTAGAATCCCAGGGAAGGACTCAGCATCAGATGGTGAATTAGCAGTGCTTCAGAGAAGACAACTGAGCTTGGAGTCAGGGTGAGGAAATTTTCGGGACTAAAAAAAGTCAACGTTACCAAAAATTAAACAGGATCACCGAAGTACATAGAGGCAGTTCTTAGGCAAAATTTCCTAAAAGCAAAAAACCCTCCAGAAGGTGGCACTATTAGGTAAATTTCTGATGTAGGTTCCCTCTTGTGCAATATTTTGTTCCAGGATTTAAGACGGTGCAGTTTTCTTTTCTTTTCTTTCTTTCTTTCTTTCTTTCTTTCTTTCTTTCTTTCTTTCTTTCTTTTTTTTTTAATTCAAGCACCAGATGTCTCTTACTTACTTAGATCTTATCTGCTTTTGATGAAATCTACACATAAAGCAAGCACTAAACAGCTACCCGGATAATTCAGCACTCGGCGTCGTCCCTCAAGACAGAGGAATAGATGATATCATGCTGGGGGAAACAAAAAAGACATGGGCTTTAAACATTAAGATTATTTTAAACAGAGCTATTTCTCAGGTTCCTCATGAGGAACTAAAGCTTGAATCTGCACAGTCATATTTTCTGATCTTGTCCTACCCCTCTGATGAACTGGAGTCTTCTATACATCTTAGAGTGGTGGACAAGCTCCCTTTCCAATTTAGTGAAATCATGAATAAACTTTTTATTCTGCCCCTATGAGCTTTTCTCCTACTTTTCAGGGAAAGAAAGCAAAATCATCCAGATAGGCCCCAGATTCAAGCCTCTGACCTGGCGCCCAAGCTCTAGTACCCTGAGGGAAAAGATATATCTGTACCCTCTGTCCTTAGGAGCTTCCAGCAGAGGATGGGATAAAATCTGAGGGAAAGAATACCAAAGACACACTGATTAGAGCTGTCTTCGTTCTGAATATCAACTGCTGTGACTCCTCCTGTCAGAGGAAACATAGATAATTCACTCAATTGCCATTTGCTCTAATTGTTTATTTTCCTCTATGACTCGTTGCTGGAAAATCAGATGATTTGGTGTCCCAATATTCCAGGAATTTATAATATCTTATATATTAATAAATGTGGAGGACATTTTTGCACAGATGGTAAAATAATTGATTTGGGGGACGTCTAAAGTTTTAAAACTTTAAGATAACAGAGGGAAATCTAAAACAATAATTTCAGCACACTTACAAGAGAAAAAGGTCTTCAGTGCCATTTAACCATATTTTCATGTGCTATTTTGGAAAGCATTGCTGAGCCCTTCAAAGAAAGCATCCAACAGACCCTTTCAGCCCTGATAAACACCCAGTTTAACTCAGTTAGCATCCACAGTTACAAAACCAGAGTTCTCGGAGTCATGCATCCCAACATGCACAGCTGAGCTCCTGTTGCTGAGCGAGGTGGGAGGACATGGTCTGGGGCACCCGATGCTTCTTCCCAGCCAAAGCCGGTGTGGACACTCTGGTGGCCAGCATCCAGTGCACATCCCCGGTGATGAGTTGGTATGGAGTGACTGACGGAAGAGATACCCACACTTGCTGTGCTGTCCTCAGAGACTCCCAAGCCTGAGGAGAAGCAAGTGCTCTGACAAGGGAAGCTAATGGACCTGTGGCCAGTGAGAGGGCAGCTTGGTTGTGGTGCATCCTCCACAGTTGCACAGGAAGGACTGGAAATTACATTTTCAGCTAAACTGTACTGGAGGAAAGCATTTCTCTTTCTTCTAGTATGTCAGTGCACAAGTACCTGCTTAAAGTTGTTTTTCCATGTCCCTTCATATGTTTTGACAAATAGTCATTTATACATTTCTGCTATAAAGGAAATCCATCCTCTTAATTTGTTTGTGCTAAAAGATTTGAAATGTAAGTCAGGACAGACAGCACTGTCTGGACACATGTGGATTTGTTTTGAGCTCCAGAATTGAAAGCAGTTTTGCAGTATTAGCATTGAGTGTTCTCCAGATACATCACAATGAACATTCAAAGGCTTCGTTTCATTTATTCATGAGTTACCTGTTGTACTCCCCAAAAAAGGCCCCTCGAGATAAAAAATGGGGCAAGACCCCCAAGGTGAAAAATGGGGCAAGACAATGACTTTTTAAAAGAAGGGCTGTTATTTTAGCTGGCCCAGCGACACAGTGCAGATGTAATTTGCAAAGCTGTGCAACTGAGTCACAATTTTGACTGACTTTTAATACTTCATTTATGATTAGCTCATTGATCACTGAGTACATAGTGATGAGAAACAGAAACAAGGTGGGCCTTGTTCCCCTTTGCTTGAGGTGAGAGACATTTCACAGTGGGTGGTTAGCCAATTCAGAGCCCTTGGTCTGCCAATTCCAGGAACATTTGTGTCTCCTGAGGGAACAATGGTTGACAGCATTATTCCTCTCTTACAAGGGGAACAAAGTTGACACAGCAAACAGGTTACTGGGGTAGGGGGGCAACGCATACAGAACAGCATGACGACATGGTCAGTTAATTTATAACTAATTTATAGCAATGTGGTTAGTGCTCTAGGTACATGGTTACTAGGGCGATAAGCATACAACATAACATTACCAACTGAGTAAGTCTTGAAAATGAACTTTTAAATAGCTGAGAATCTGTCTTTCTCAATGGATATCTGCTTTTCACTTAAAAACTTATTTTTTCTAATTTTCCAGCTATATTTAAAGTTTTATAACTGTCCCAAAAAGGAACTTCTCAGTTAAATTTTGTGGATGACTGTTCACAGTCACATGTAAGACGTTCTTCTACTTAAATGTCTTTTCTGGAACAGCAACAGTTGAAGATCTTGGACCAGTCATTGTGTTGCCTTAAGGTGACTGTCTGCTAGTGTCACACTAGCAGGGCGGCCTGAGAAGAATCACCTCGAGAGGACCCGCAGTGGAAGGAGACAGAAGAGTACTGTGACCCTGAAGAGGTGACTTAACACGAAGCCCAGCTAAGTGGATCAAATAGGTTTCTCTCCAGAGCGCACTTCTAGGGATTTGAACAACACTTGGGGAAGAGCAAAGTACCAGTCAAAGGCAGTAAATTTATCAGATATAAGGTAAAATAGAAGAAATAAGATAGGTAGAAAAAAGATAAGGACAATCATAATTTTAAAAAACTATACTTTTAAGAAGACTGCAGTTTTCAAGACATGGTCAGAATTACCCAAAGTTACCTACATTGGCAGTTCCTTGGTTAATTCATGCCTCTTTCCTCCCAGACCCGTGATCCCCAATACTCCTTCGAGATACTGTAAGTGCAGTAAAATAGGTCAGGTTGAGAAAGTAAAGAACGGAATCCTGATGTTAAGATAAACAAAGAGAGTGAGATAATACAAACAGTGGTTAAAATAGCCATCTATAAAAATCTCTTTGACCTGTAAAATGAGTCGTTGTGCTTTTAAGGGGTTGGCCATCTTTTCCATAGGTTTCCAACTCAAGAGAAACATAGAAGTTCCCAGTTCCAAAAATAATATCTCTCTCCTTGAAGGCCCATGGTTTATTTATGTGAGCATGTACTTTCAAAATTCTGCTTAAAATCCTGTTTATGCCTCTTCCTGACATTCCTGGAAAATTGTTTTTTGTGATGGTGGTCAATAAAGCTGCAAATTGATTCTACAGCTAGGATGGATTTGGGTCCATGTCTGTGCTTTGTGAACTTTTTAGAATCCTGCCCAGTGACATTGCTCCTGGCAAAGCCTGCTGCTCTGGCACTTTGACTTTTAAAGTCTAGCAAAAACCTTTTCATAGTTTTCTTTCCCACTTCCCCAATCCTTTGCCCTCTGAAACATATCAACCTTTAGCTTTGTCTTTTCAGCTGTTCGAGTTCTGAGTAACTAGAAAATCCGAGCTTACATATGAAAGCCCTGGAGACAAGGGGTTCCAGGTCCTTCTAATCAGACATCGGGAAAGTGTGGAGCTGTGCACAGGACAGTGAGCATAGACCTCAGCAGGTTTCCTTCGGGTCGCTGTACCCCACTCCAGGTCAGACTGAACTAAAACTTGCTCACCATGGAGACACAAATAGAGATCCATCCAGAAAAGTTTCTCCTGGAGCCAGTGTGGGAAGCCTGGACCTGAGACCCAGTAGAGAGAAGGGACTCAGTGCGACACTTCACCTCATTCAGATCTTTGGATCCTAACACTTTAGATAAAAAGAAATCTTGTAATCTGTTCCTTTAGTCTCTCTATCTCTCCCCATCTGTAACTCTCTGTGTCTCTGTCTATCTGTCTGTCTTGTCTGCCTGTCTGCCTGTCTGTCTATCTCTCTGTCTCTCTCTCTCCTCCAGCTCTCTTGCTCTCAGAACTGAAGATCATGAGCTCATTCTGCCTGACATCATTGCCTTTTGCGGTGGCTGGGAAAATGTCCCAAATTTTGCAGGTGCAAATGGGTATCCAGGTGGTAATTCATATTATTCTCATGACCTGGCAGAGTTTATATACTCAAACCTAGAAAGAGGGCACTGCTTTTCTTTTCCTCTCCCCACTAAAAACTCATTTCTTCTCTTGGCCTCTAATACCCCGAGTTTACCGACAAGGCGAAGCTCACAATATCCTTTTTGGGTGTGTTTTAAAATTCTCTGAAAAAAAAATCACCTTATATATTTAATTTATCATTTTTGCATCTGCAGGCATAATAAATTAACAACCATCTAGTCCTGCTGTCCTGAGACTCTTCCACATGATTACTGCCCTCAGAATTGCACCGAATGATTGAAAACCGGCAGCTCTTTTGAGAAAGGTTTCACCTTACTCTAATGTGTAAATGCTGGAGGACAACAAGGAGGCGAGCTTGACTCCAATTGCTCACAGGTGTGATTCAGTTCTATTATTTCTTTGCTGACTTTTTGTCTAGTTGATCTATCTCTTTGTGACAATGGGGTGTTAAGGTCCTCTGTTATAACTGTGTTCTTGTGTACTTGGTTTTTCATGTCCATTAGTATTTGTCTTATATAGTTGTGTGCTCCTGTGTTTGCTGCATACATATTTATAATTATTAGTTCTTCCTCTTGAATTTTTCCAGTAATGAGTATGTAGTGACATTCTTTATCTCTTTTAATCATTTTAGGTTTGAAGTTCACTTTGTCTGCAAACAGAATAGGTACCCCTGCTTTTTTCTGGGTTCATGTTGTATGGAATACTGTTTTCCATCCTTTGATTTTTAGTCTATGAGTTTCCTTTTGGGTCAGATGTGTTTCTTGACCCAAACAGCTTCTTTAGGGATCCTGTTTCTTGATCCATTCTGTCAACCTATTTCTTTTGATATGTGAATTGAGGCCATTTACATTTATAAATATCACTGATATGTACTGGCTCGACTTTGCCATGTTATGTTCCAGTTGTTTGCTTTCTGTTTTTCCATCGTGTTTAATGCTGGTCCTGCCGTGTGGTTTCTTTCTTTTGTTTTTCTGGAGATTGTGATCATTTTTATCTCTATATAATAAGTCTTTCAACATTCTTTCTAGGGTTGGTTGGGGGGCCATAAATTT